GTGGGGGATGAAATTCCCTTCCTTTCTCGAGATTGCACAGATCAAAGATGTCTAAAGAGCTAATTTAGCCAATCCTGATCCTTGCAGAGCGAGCCAAACCTCCATTAACCTCACCAGTTCTCACCTCTCCATTCGGCATTCTAGATATTCTTTCGACTCCTGTCTGCACAATCCGTTCTCAAAGTGATTTGCCTGCAGACACTTCATGAATTTTTCTTTGAAAAGCGTACATTCGCCTGTAAAAAAAACCCCAAAAAACCCTTTTGTTTGTCTCCTTTTAGATTATTTAGAAGAAGAAAAATACTCCTGAAATTAAGAGTACCCAAAACGAAGAGTGTATTCCAGAGACGGGATGAGAACAGTCTGTAAAAAAGGATGCAAGTTCAAGGCAAGACATCCAGACATTTCACAAACCATGGCTTATTTACAAATGTTCACCCCATACTATATCAAGGCTCATCCCGAGAGGCGAAGCCTTCTTTTGACTCTGCTCTGCAATTCAAAGCCCACCCACCTGATTTCCCTGCAACTGCTCTCATCCCTCCTAGCCAGTGCTGGCTGGGGATAATGGGAGTTGCGGTCCAATAGGCTATTGCAGGCAAACCATTGTTGAAAGTGATTTACATGAAGTGGCTGCATCCAGTTTTGGAATGGGGGAAGTCTAATTGGATTGACACGTAGGAGATGTGCAAGCTTGCTTTTCTTCAGCCATCTTTAGGCTGGGAGTTATGGAAGGGGTAGTCCCCATGCATCAGAAGTAAAATACTGGGGTCTCTTAAAGGTGGGGGAGGGGGGGAGAGAAAAAAGAAATCTCCCTATAGTCTAAAATAGTATTTTTCGAACTTGGCCACTTCATGGCGTATGGACGTCAACTCCCAGAATCCCCCAGCCAACATGGCTGACTAGGGAATTCTGGGAGTTGAAGTCACCAAGTCTTAAAGCAACTGAAACTGGGAAACCTTATCCTAGACTGGCGACGCTCTAGATTCGCCATCTCTATGGTGGGAGTTCTGGTCGCCGGGGAGTCCAGTCTCTCGCTCGCGCATGCGCACTGCCCCTCCCTCACCGAAGTGATCCAAGGGGAAGGCGCCCTTGTCCGGCGGCCTCGGCTTGAAGCTTTTCGCCCCGAAAACCATGGTGGACATGGCGGAGACGGACGAACCGACGGGCCAGGCCCGCCGCCGCTGCTACGATAGCGGTTTTCCTCCCCCACACTTCCGGAAAGAGGGAGCTCCGCCCAGTCCTGGCAGCGGAGCGCCGAGCCAGGCCAGGCCAGGCCGAAGGAGGGGAGAGCCGAGCGCATCGAGCGGAACGCTTAGCCCCGCCCCTTTAGAACACTCCCTCTCTCCCTCCCTCCCCCCTCTCTCTCTCTCCCCCCCACAACAACCCTGTGAGGTGGACCCTGTGAGGTAAATTATTTTTCTTTTTTTAATTATTTTCTTCTTTTTCTTTATTATTATCTTCTTTCATTATTTTCTATAATGATTACAGGCGTTATTTTTCTCTTCTAATTTTTTTTTTTTTTTAGAAAAAAAAGAAGAAGCATGACCTTTATTATAAAAATGACCCTTTTCATTCTGGCTGTTTTTTTAGACATGGTTTTATAGATGACTTTCCACCGGTTTTTTTCCCCCTTTTCTTTGGCGTGGAGGGCGGAGAGCAGCCCTACAGAGGTGTCCCGGGAAAGGCAGGTGACGATGGAGATCGCCAATCCCATAAATAAGAGGTGTTTTTTTTTCTTTATAGTTCGAATTGATTATTTTTTAATGGAGCGGAAGTATACAAAGGAAAGAATACGGAAAATTTTTTTTAAAAAAGAAGAGAAACGGAATGAAAACATTCTGTCTGTTGAGCAATCGCCATCTTCCCTTCCCTTTTTGACCCTTTTTAATCCAGAAATCCTGGATTAAATTCAGTCTTTTCTTCTTTCAACAATAAGTCTATATTAGGTTTCCAGTTTCTCAAAATAAAAGTGTGCTGTTTTCTCCCCCTCACCTCCACACCCGATTANTTCTTCTTCTTCTTCTTCTTCTTCTTCTTCTTCTTCTTCTTCTTCTTCTTCTTCTTCTTCTTCTTCTTCTTCTTCTTCTCAATATGTTTCTGAGTGAGCTGAAATTCAACAGAACGATTTTCTCTCTCTCGGCAGATTCTGCAGCGTAAAAGAGCGAGTGGGTTTTTAAATGATCCCCTGTGGAAGTGGACATTGGATTGATTGAACAAAATTACAATCCGCCCCCTCCCGATTGGTGAGTGGCAGGGACCATAATAAAATTAGTCAACCAATAAAATAAAAGTGGTACACAGTTTTAGGCAGGCCAACCCTTTTACAGGCACAATGACGTCGTCAGCTAGCAAAGACTCTCTTAGAGACCTTTGCAAATTCATGCTTGGTCCGGTAAAGGAGTTGCCGGATTGCTAAATCAATAAAAGAATTGATCTTCCCATGTTGCAGACTTATTGGAAATCCATGAAATTGGACCAGGGAGGGGAACGATCAGGCAGAGAGGAAGAAAGAAGCTGAAATTGATCAAGGCTACAGAGACCAGCGCCAACGGCTTTTTCCTACAAGATTCTTCTCCCCGGCGTCCTCAGTTGCATCATTGTGTTTCTCTCTGAAGTGGCCTAGCAGCCAACACAACATGATTCAAGATGAGTTCATCCTTTTTCTTCCCTCTCCAAGGAGAAAATGTATCTATTAATTTAATTAATATTAAAATCAACCCAGTTTGGTTAAGGCATCAGGCTAGTGAGTGGGAGACTGTGAGTTCAGTCCCGCCTTAAGCATGAAAGCTGGCTGGGTGACCTTGGACCAAACAGCAGGAGACTCTGAGTTCTAGTTCTGCCTCTGGCAGAAAAGCTGGCTGGGTGACTTTGGGCCAATCACCAGGAGACTCTGAGTTCTAGTCCTGCCTCAGGCACAGAAACCAACAGGGTGACTTTGGGCCAATCACCAGGAAGCTGTAAGTTCTAGTCCCGCCTTAGGCATGAAAACCAGTTGGTTGACTTTGGGCCAATCACCAGGAGACGGTGAGTTCTAGTCCCGCCTTAGTCACGATAGCCAGCTGGGTGATTTTGGCCCGTTCCTTTCTGTCAACCCAACCCACCTCACAGGACTGTTGTTGAGAAAATAGGAAGACAGAGGGTGTATTGGATATGTTTGCTACCTGGAGTTATTCCTAAAAATAATAAAGGCAGAAATACAAATAGATAAATAAAACCTGAGCTTATAGAAGGCAGGGCATGTAACGGGGTTCAATCAATTAGGGTCTTCCATCTGGTGGGACCACAACAAAGATCCTTCCAGGGGGGTGACCCCTTCTTTATGGAACATTGTTCATTCAGAGCATGCTTGGCCCCCACCCTGCTGCTTTTCTGAAAGGCCCTAGAAATGTGGTTTTTTCACCAGGCCTGGGAACCCCGAACGGAGATGGAGCCGATGAAGCGACCGATTTGATTGTATTCCTGTCATTGGGAGATTTGATATCGTAGATTTTTTAATGTGGTAAGCAGCCCAGATATGCTTATTGGGAGAGTCGGACACCCGTGTAAATTTCTTTAATAAACAAACAATAAAATGCATGAAAATAAAGGCAGGTTCTCCACACACACGCCCCAAAACTCACAAGGCAAACCTCTTACGTCTTTCAACAAACATTTCCCCCCAATTTGGGTGATACACCTGGCTAGTTGAGGGAGGCTTTTCATTTCATCCTCGTGGCTGCGCTAGAGGAAAAAAATATTTCTGGGCAAAAAAAAAAAAACCCCAACCCAGATCAAATACGATGCTAACCCTTGTAAACTTTTCATTTGCTCCCCAAAGAGAGAGACAGCTTGAGCATCTGGATATTTTCCCTCCCCTCCTTTGATTGGATTTGATTTCGTTGTGAGTTACACAATGACAATAAAGACGTTCTATTCTATTCTATTGATTGACCTAGGACGGGGAGGGGGGGTTAACTATTTCTCCCCATTTATTATCCAGGTTGCAGCAAAACAGACATCCTTTCTCAAAGAGAACCATTGTGACGCCCGGATTCTTCCCACCGTTGCGGGTGCTCTTATAGCCTCGAGCGGAATTCTCCGCATAATCTTTTAAGAAGCAGAAATGTTGTTTATTTTCCCAGGAACAATCCGAGATGGCCTGCATAGTCAGAATGCCTGGTTGGTCGGTCTGAAAAGATTCTGACCCCTCTTTCCTCCCCGGGCAGCGGCTTCTACGACACCTCAACTTACAGCAGTCCGTTTAGTAACCATTTTTCAGTGCCTCAGCACTGCCTTAGTGCCTCAGCACGGAAATAAGTTGACTTATGACCGTTTTTCACACAATTACGACCGTTGCAGGATCCCCGTGATCAAAATTCAGACAGTTGGAAACTGGAAACTGACTCGTATTTATGACGGTTGCGGCGTCCTGGGGTCGTGGGACCCCCTTCTGCGACCTTCTGACAAGCAAAGTCAATGGGTTCATTTAACAACTGGGTTACTAACTTAATAACTGAGGCAATTCATTTAACAACTGTGGCATGAAAGGTTGTAGAATGGGGCAAAATTCACTTAAGAACCGTCTCGCTTAGCAACGGAAATTTTGTGTTCAGTTGTCGTCATAATTTGAGAACAACCGGTATTGTGTATTTATCTCACAAAGGCTGTTTCTCCTAAAGGACCTCCAGACACGTTCCTGCAGTTTCACTCATGGAGGTTTGTTCGATACAGGTTGTCCCCGTTTAGTGACAATTGGGATCAGCAACATGGTCATTAAGGGAATCCACAACTGTGCTTACAATCTTCCTTCAGCTTTCCTCCGTTTTGCTAAACTGTGAAGGTTATCAGTGGGGGGAAAGGTTGCAAATTTACTTTTTCACCAATGTCATCACTGTGAACAGCCACTAACCAAGTCAGTCACTAACTGAGGACTGCCTGTATTCAGATACACACCCATACACATCCTGTTGCAGCCAGAACCCAACAGAGCTCATTTCTCACATGGGCAGAGAGAAAAATAAGGCTAAACCTTTTAATAAAAACTCAGTACAGAGTACAGAAATCTAACAGCGTAATTTCTGATTATTGGCTTAAGTTTTTAATGTTCTAATATCAACACCAGTCCAAACAGTCTATCCAAAAGCACTGCAATCTTCTTTTCTTTTTTTTAAAGGAAAAACTATCCCAAAACTACGGAAACAGCTGGAAAACAAACCCCACCATCATTCCTACCAAGCTGTCATTTGCTGAATTTCTGTAACCTTTTCCAAGAATAACTTTCTCTTAAAACGAAACGCAAAAGGGGCAATGTACAATAGGTACGACTGCAGATCCTGGGATTAAGACGAAAGGTCAGGAGGGATTTTTTTGTTGCACTGTCTCCGGTTGGTCTTCGGATTTCTCTTCCTTTAGGTCTTTAAATCCCAGTTTTTCCAGTGGCTCTTTGACCATCAGTTCCCTTGAAGAAATCAAACAAAATTGAATAAATGGTTAGGCTTCAAAGCTGCACATTTAGCCACGATCGTTCCCACTGCTGAATAATTTAGTCTCTCTAAAAGCAATCACGCATACACACCCCAAAGGATTCTATCGAACACATTTGTGTGTGTGTGTACGATAAACTCTAAAACATATACAGAAGCTCTTGTATATGGTACAGGACAAGAGAATGTAGCTTCCTACGAACCCCAGCATTTCCTTTTAATTAGTACATTTCTGCTTCTTCTGTAAGTAAAAATACACTTAACATTTGGCAGGCAGTGGTTCACAAGACCAAAGAACCAAGCTTTTCTTGAAGCAATGTTGCCTTTTTATATTATTATTATTATTGTTATTTATTAAATGTACATGCTGCTCAACTTAAAAGTAACTCTGGGCTGCTTAGAGGAGGAGCTTTATTCCCCAGAGGGGGAAAAAAAGGTGGTGGTGGGGAATGAAATTGCCTTCCTTTCTCGAGATTGCACAGATCAAAGATGTCTAAAGAGCTAATTTAGCCAATCCTGATCCTTGCAGGGCGAGCCAAACCTCCATTAACCTCACCAGTTCTCACCTCTCCATTCGGCATTCTAGATATTCTTTCGACTCCTGTCTGCACAATCCGTTCTCAAAGTGATTTGCCTGCAGACACTTCATGAATTTTTCTTTGAAAAGCGTACATTCGCCTGTAAAAAACAAACAAACCCCTTTTTTGTTTGTTTCCGTTTAGAAGAAGAAGAAAAAATACGCCTGAAATTAAGAGTACCCAAAACGAAGAGTGTATTCCAGAGACGGGATGAGAACAGTCTGTAAAAAAGGATGCAAGTTCAAGGCAAGACATCCAGACATTTCACAAACCATGGCTTATTTACAAATGTTCACCCCATACTATATCAAGGCTCATCCCGAGAGGTGAAGCCTTCTTTTGACTCTGCTTTCACCCGCCTGATTTCCCTGCAACTGCTCTCATCCCTCCTAGCCAGTGCTGGCTGGGGATAATGGGAGTTGCGGTCCAATAGGCTATTGCAGGCAAACCATTGTTGAAAGTGATTTACATGAAGTGGCTGCGTCCAGTTTTGGAATGGGGGAAGTCTAATTGGATTGACACGTAGGAGATGCGCACGCTTGCTTTTCTTCAGCCATCTTTAGGCTGGGAGTTATGGAAGGGGTAGTCCCCATGCATCAGAAGGAAAATACTGGGGTCTCTTAGGAGGGGGGGGGAGAGAAAAAAGAAATCTCCCTATAGTCTAAAATAGTATTTTTTGAACTTGGCCACTTCATGGCGTATGGACGTCAACTCCCAGAATCCCCCAGCCAACATGGCTGACTAGGGAATTCTGGGAGTTGAAGTCACCCGGTCTTAAAGCAACTGAAACTGGGAAACCTTATCCTAGACTGGCGGCGCTCTAGATTCGCCATCTCTATGGTGGGAGTTCTGGTCGCCGGGAGGTCCAGTCTCTCGCTCGCGCATGCGCACTGCCCCTCCCTCACCGAAGTGATCCAAGGGGAAGGCGCCCTTGTCCGGCGGCCTCGGCTTGAAGCTTTTCGCCCCGAAAACCATGGTGGACATGGCGGAGACGGACGAACCGACGGGCCAGGCCCGCCGCCGCTGCTACGATAGCGGTTTTCCTCCCCCACACTTCCGGAAAGAGGGAGCCCCGCCCAGTCCTGGCAGCGGAGCGCCGAGCCAGGCCAGGCCAGGCCGAAGGAGGGGAGAGCCGAGCGCATCGAGCGGAACGCTTAGCCCCGCCCCTTTAGAACACTCCCTCTCTCCCTCCCCCCTCCCTCTCTCTCTCCCCCCCACCACAACAACCCTGTGAGGTGGACCCTGTGAGGTAAATTATTTTTCTTTTTTTTATTATTTTTCTTCTTTTTCTTTATTATTATCTTCTTTCATTATTTTCTATAATGATTACAGGCGTTATTTTTCTCTTTTAATCATTTTTTTTTTTTTTAGAAAAAAAAAAGAAGCATGACCTTTATTATAAAAATGACCCTTTTCATTCTGGCTGTTTTTTTAGACATGGTTTTATAGATGACTTTCCACCGTTTTTTCCCCCCCTTTTCTTTGGCGTGGAGGGCGGAGAGCAGCCCTACGGAGGTGTCCCGGGAAAGGCAGGTGACGATGGAGATCGCCTTAAGGACCTAAACCAATCCCATAAATAAGAGATGTTTTTTTTCTTTATAGTTCGAATGGATTATTTTTTAATGGAACAGAAGTATACAAAGGAAAGAATACGGAAAATTTAAAAAATTTTTTCTTCTCTTTGCCTTACTTTTGTAAGACAGACAACTCGTTAGCGGTAGAAGGGAAGGGAAAAACTGGGAAAAATTAGGTCTTTAGGACCTAATTTAAGTCAGAAAAGAAGAAAGTTGTTATTCAGATATAATCCAAAGGTCAAAGAGTTTTATTTTCACACGACAAAAGAGGGGGAGTGGAGGTGTGGGCTAATAACTGGCAAGTGCAGTCAATTTTATAATCCAATCTGAGGGAAAAATTCCATTTCTTTTAATACTTTGCTTGGCTTGATAGGAAAAAGCACCACCGTGACCTGCGGAGCCTTTGATATTGGAGGAACAGCTATAGCTATATCCTTATTATATAATTATTACAGCTAAGAATAATAAGACCGTTGCAGCATCCATTCATGGTCATGTGATTAAAATTCAAGCTACTGACTCAGGTTTATGACGGTCGCGTCCCCTTTTGCGACCTTCTGACAAGCAAAGTGCAATGGGGAAGCCAGCTTCACTTAACAACCGGGTTACTAACTTAACTGCAGTGATTCACTTAACAACGTGGCAAGAAAGGTCATAAAATGGGGCAAAACTCCCTTCACAACTTAGCCACAGAAATTTTTGTTGTAAGTCAAGGACTATCTGTAGTGATTTAAAATGGGTAATATTTCTTTTTCGTCTCGGTGACGTTTATGGAGAAATAATAACGAGGTACGAACTGACGCCGTTCCTAAATCGTTAAAAAGGGTATTAAGTGGCGTGACCACAAAAAATACAATCGCCTCTTATCACCAGTCCTCTGTGCTTCGGATTGCTTTCTTATTCTAGGTCTTGCGACCGTCAATGGAAAAGGACACCTGGATGGTTATATAACCACTGGCTGGAAATATGAATCTGTGTTGTTTTGTGGCAGGGAGCGTGAAAAATCGGCTTTTCTGGGATTGTGAATAAGTGACTCTTCGTTGGAACGCAAACAAAACCTCTTGATCCAACTGGATTTCCCCGTCACGTGAGCTGAGCTGCTTCCAAAGAAAAATAATGAAACTAGGAGAAGAAATATTTTCCACTCTAGATGTCCAGCCCAACTTTAAACTGAATATCTGAAACAAGGTCCTTGGGTGGTTCTCCAAAGGTGGTTGAAATGCAGTTGAAGAGTTGCAAGAAGCCAAGAAACCAAATGCTTTTTGGAGAGTGGAAGAGTTGAGTAACAATTCCCATCTTCCCCAGCCTCTGGTGATGCAGGTAATGGATAATTTAGAGCGTTTGGTTTTATTTATTTATTTGTATCCCGCCTATATAATTTTCACAAATAACTCAAGGCTACAAACATAGTCAACACGCCTTCCTTCTATTTATCCCATAACGATAACCCTGTGAGGTAGGTTGGGCTGAGAGAGGGATTGGCCTGAAGTTACCAGCCAGCTTTCATACCTAAAACGGGACTAGAACTTACCGTCTCCTGGTAATTGGCCCAAAGTCATCCAACTGGCTTTCGTGCCTTAAGTGAGACTAGAACTCACCATCTCCTGGTGATTGGTCCAAAGTCACCCAGCCAGCTTTCATGTCTAAGACAGAACATGTCTAAGACAGAACTAGAACTCACCATCTCCTGGTAATTGGCCCAAAGTCATCCAATTGGCTTTCATGCATTAAATGAAACTAGAACTCACTGTCTCCAGGTGATTGCCCAAACCCAGCTGGTTTCATGCCTAAGGTGGGACTGGCACCCACTGTCTCTTGGTGACTGGCCCGAAGTCATCCAGCTGGCTTTTACAGCTAAAGCAGAACTAGAACTCACAGTCTCGTGATTTTTAGCCTGGTGTCTTAACCACTAGACCAAACTGGATCAACAGAGTGTAACCTTCCCCTCCGGAGGTAAGTTCTCCAGATGTTACTTGGGTTCCCTCCAACTTCCATCAGCCACACCAACAAATGGCAAGGGTTTATAGGAGCTACATCCATGGGTGGGCATGACAGAGGTCACTCATGGAATTATGAGTTGTGTAAAGCCAGATAGAGTTAAAGAAAACTGGGACACAAACAGGTTACATAAATATATATATACACATATTGAGAAGACGGGGCAAGTGATCAGCATCAAGCAAGCCCTGACAGACTTAATCCCTAATTTTAGTAATTTGCAGAGACACGAAGGAATGTAATCTGATCTCTGGACATTAATCTGTGTTTCTGGCAATTTAGTAATGCACCAGAGGAACTCAATGAAAATGTCTGACGAACGGTATTTTTCGGGATAATCTTATGGAGCATGTTAAACTTGGGGAATCTTGGATAATTTTTGGATAATTGTCTCCAGAATTACGAGCTTACTCACAACCAGGAGTGAAAACTGGATGAAATCTCACCAAAAGTGAGAGATTGTAACCAATCTGTAATTTAATATTTGGTGCTTGTGTGGTAAGAGTCTGTCTGTCTGTCTGTCTGTCTCCCTCTCTCTCTCTCTCACTCATCTATCGTCTATCATCTTTTCTTTTTTCTTCTTTCTTTTCCTTCTTTCCTTTATCACACTAGCTCTCTGACTTATTTATTCCTTACTTTAAAATATTTTTTAATCCTCTCTTAGAAACGGGTTTGCCAACACAATTTGCCACTGGGAGAGCAGCCTTCAGCCACCATCTTTTTGCCTCCCAGATTCTCCTTCCTTCTGTCCCTCTCTGCTCCATCTTTAACATTTCGTGGGTCCCTCCCAGAGCACTTTAGTTTTATTGCTATCGGGACAATAAAGCCATCCAAAGATTTTTACAAAGTCGCATCAATTGACTGCCAGAGCTAGAAAACCTCACCGGATAAAAATCCCAGCCACGGTTACAATTAGGAGCGAGCGTAGAAAAAGGGCGTGTGGAAGGTCTTTTTGATTTTTCCAGAGGCCCCCAAGCAAATATTAACCTTTGTGGTGACAGGAAAACGCCTAGAAGACAAATCCCAGCACACAAACTTGAACACAAAAGGCCTGTGAAGGAAACCCCCCCCATAGTGGATGGAAAGAAGGAGAAAAGTCATTAACTTTTTCTTTTTTTTTTCCAGCTGTACACCTGCAGCTTTGCTAAAGAAATTCTCGTCCCACTGTTGTTTGACAGGAAAGCAATGCTTAATAGCTTTGGTTTGAGTGAGATTAATCTCCTGGCTTTTAAGCGTTGTCTTAAAAAATGGTTTACAATACACACGCCTCAGCCAGCCCACATTTTTACCGAAGCACATTAGGCTTAAAAGTAAAGCGCAAATCGCAGGAATGAAGAGCTGAGCTGTCAAGGTTGTACTTGTGGTTAAGACACAAGGCACATCCTTCATCTTCTAAGCTGACCTGCCTTCAGGCAGGTATGTCGCTGACAGGTATTAATCCCTTGGGTGAGATGCAGAAGCTTTCCCATCAGCAGTGGAGGAACCAGCGTCGAAAAATAAGATTTCTAAGGTTTTTTTTTTAAAAAAAGCAAATTATTTTACTGTAGCCAACTAAAGGGGAAAAAATTCTACCCATGTAACTTTGTTCACAATGCGCTGTTATATTTCAAAAGAGGAGGAGGAGGAGGAGGAGGAGGATTGTGGGGTCCTTGGTGCTCTCTGAGCTGGGTTGTTTTGTACTAAGCATTTCATGACCCAACCAGGTAACATCATCAGTGCTATAATGGAGTGGGGTTTGCAGAGAGGAGGAGGAGAAGGAAAGAAGAAGAAGAAGAAGAAGAAGAAGAAGAAGAAGAAGAAGAAGAAGAAGAAGAAGAAGAAGAAGAAGAAGAAGAAGAAGAAGAAGNAATGGAGTGGGGTTTGCAGAGAGGAGGAGGAGGAGGATTGTGGGGTCCTTGGTGCTGTCTGAGCTGGGTTGTTTTGTATTAAGCATTTCATGACCCAACTAGGTAACATCATCAGTGCTAGAAGGGAGTGAGGTTTGTGGGGAGGAGGAGGAGAGAAAGTTTAGATCAAGGTGTCCAACCTTGGCAACTTTAAGATCTGTGGGTTTCAACTCTCAGAATTCCCCAGCCAGCTATGAAATAAAGAGTGCAGGGGGCTTAGCAGAGGACCAATTCTGATGGAAGAAAGCCATCACTGAGATAAAAAAAAGAAAAGAAAACTATATTGGCTGCTGCGCTCGACCAGAGAAGCACGTAGGCCTGCGAGGCAGAAGGTCGAAGCCAAGACAAGCGTCTTCTGGAGAAGCAACCTGCGTCACTTGGGCCATTCCCACCCCTGTTCTCAGCAAGACGCGACTTTTGTACCACATAGTTTCAGCTCGCAATGGAAAACATGCTGTCAATAGTGGGCAGAGGGCCAACCTGGGTGGGCAATGACACACAAACCTTTGGGGAGCTGAGGTGTGTCTCAGTGCAGCAATAATCCTTTGGGATCATACATGTCAAGTCAGCCTGGCATTGAAATACACACACACACACACACAGAGAGAGACTTT